ACCAAGCTATAATAACAAAAATAAATTGGGCTGGGGATAAATTGAAAATACGTCATGGATTGAAGTGAAGAAACCAATACACCTATGTTAGGGAGATTGGTAAAAGAGAAAGTAGGGTGTTGAAAAATGAGGCATTGTGATCGGGAAAGAAAGCAAAAAAGATAACATGTTAGGCCAGGGTCGGAAATCAACACAGAGGTTGCTGCCAACATGTTGGAAGTAGCTGTCAGGTTTGGGTCTTTTGGTTTGTCCTGTTTACAGTGTCGTACTACTGGAAAACGATTAGTGGGGGTGAACAAAAAACAAAGCAGATGTGTAGGTGACTTGAAAAGCGATAAATTAGGAGGCATAACAGTCAAATTTAGCGAACATTTAAATTTAGAGAGATAAAAGTTGTATTGGGTTTGTTCAGCTTATCCTTAATAAAATACGTAATTTTACAGTGATTAGCGCGACTTCTCGTAAGTTCGTAGATAGCATTACGCGCCTGAAAAAATACTGTTTTGATAGAGCTGAAATAATTTTAAAGCACTGGTTACTTGAATCAGTTTTATAGTTGAAGTAACTGAACTGGCTTATTGTAAAGGATAATGGTTTTGCGTTTTGGAAGGGGGACTTTCCATCAATATTTCAATTCTCTAGCTTCTCAGGCTCTCGAGTTAACAGCTTGCCCATGAAAAACTTCCGCGAGTCCGTACGTGGAAGCCATGCACAATAGGGGGCTGGGTTTGAGCTCATCAACACGCATGTGGGCGAGGAACATCCCCGTAAAATTCCAGTCTTCTAGCTTCTCAGTTCCCCGAGTTAGCGACTTACCCCAAAAAAACTTTCACGGGCTCGTACGTGGGAACCACACATACCCGGCGGCTGGGTTTCAGCTCATTAATATCTACGCAGATGGGGGAAGGGGGGGGGGGGACATCTCCTTAAAATTTCGGCTTTCTAGCTTTTCTGGTTCCCGAGTTAGCAGCTTCCTATCAAAAACTTTGGCGGGTCCATATGTAGGTGTCATGCGGGTGAGAGCGTCCATTTTGGGGGATGGGGCTCGTACATGCATGTAGATCAAGTTCCCAAAGTTTCGGTCTGTAGCTTTTATGTCTTGAAATGAAAAATCAGTACAGACAAACACACACATACATACACACAGACAACTCGTCAGTACGCGTTTTCTGCATTGCATAGCTGCAAAAAAAAAAAACGCATAAAAACACCGGACGACCTCTGACAACTGAAGCATATGAAAGCTGGAAACTGTAATAGATAAAAGTTAGAGATAAGCAGCCTACCAAGTAGCTTGAGATGTCGTTCAATTGCCTACAATGGCTGCATTGGATGTGTGATTGCACCTCAGTAACATTGACGTTTTACGGACGTAGTCCTCCTGGAAATCTTGGTAATGTAATGTAGGGCAATAGATTACCGTGGTTTTCAGGGAGGTCATGGATGCCCGTAAGTGCGGCTGTAGCTT